ATCTGAGAAGCGTAGAGCTCCCATGGCTCAACCGAGGCTTCCCTCCAAAGAGGCGTGGCAAAAAACTAGTACCTCAGAGGTACTAGTTTCCAGAAACTGCGGGGCAAGGGCGGGCGTCTGATCACGTTTCCAGTGGCATCCGGCGCCCACCCATGTCCCCTCGCAAACAGGTCATTTTTTCCCCAAGGCTCCACGGATGCGCACAATGGAGCATGCGCACACTTCAGTTTTAAAAAGTAAAAAAACCCCACAACCCCGTTTGCCGCACCGCCCCGCTTCTTGGCCTGTGGTGTGATCGGCACCTCCCACCTGGCCACGGGACCTCGACAGGACCTCAACCGGATGTCTGATCTCGCAGTTGCGCGTTAGTTTGCCCCGGGGCAAACAGCCACGCTCCCCCCCACCACCGCATTTTCCAGCCCGTGTGTCCGGGACTCTATTGTGAGAGATTTCACATAAGAAGAAGAAGAAGAAGAGATTGGATTTATACCCCGCCCTTCACTACCCAAAGGTGTCTCAGAGCGGCTTACAAACTCCTTTCCCTTCCCCTCCCCACAACAGACACCCTGTGAGGTAGGCGGGGCTGAGAGAGCTCTTTCAAGGACTGCCCATTCAAGGACAGCTCTTATCAGAACTATGACTTGCCCAAGGTCATCCAGCAGGTGCAAGTGGAGGAGTGGGGATCCCAAGGTCACATCAGCAGGTGCAAGTGGGGAATCAAACCCGGTTCTCCCAGATTAGAGTCCGCACACTTAACCACTACACCAAACTGGCTCTCAACGGCATGGAGAAAGCTGCTTGCATTACCTATTGTGAGAGATTTCACATAGAGGACACTTGCCTGCATTTTATGTTAATGAGGTCTGCACACACATTCAGCCCAGAGCCTTATGGGAAAGAGAAGCACATTTTTGCCATTGTTAGCAGAAACAACAACTAAGGAGAAGTAACCCCACCATTGCTGAAGGACCTGACGTCACGCAGTATATGGATCTGATCTGCATTTGAATTGCCATTTCCTTTTTCTTTTCTTTTTTGAAACCCCCAAGAGGGTAATTTTATTCGTTTTTCAATAGACTACATAACTACAACGGAAAATATAGGAAGGGGGACTACAACTAGGGATAAAGAAAAGATACCCACACTAACTAAAAACCCAAGAGTAGGAGATCATTTCCATGTTAATCTACATGTTAGTAAATACGTGTTAGTATAACAATATACTTGTGAGTTTATTTATATTTATTATTTATTTAATTCGATTTATACTCCGCCCTCCCCACAATGCGGGCTCAGGGCGGCTTACAAGTGGCAAACGCCAATATAAAACAGATTTAAAAACATTTATAAATCCCACAATACAAAAACATTCTTAACAATTATTTGACTAGAGTGCTCTAGATGTTCAACATAATATCAGATGTTCAGCCTCATCTGCTCCAGGGACTGGAGTTATTTTAACTACTGCTTCAATGTCAATAATTTTAATATTTTGAGAACACTTCTTGAGCATCTTATTTTTATAGAGCTATTTTCAGAGTCCTTCTGCCCTTACTTCTGTCTGCTTTCTCTGAAATCATACACCGTTTTGCTTGCTCCCGCACCCTCCCCAGAGTCCTCCCCCGTTCCACAGGTAGCAGAGTCACTCGATTTTGTTTCTTCAACTTTGAGTTCTGCTTCTGGCCCCAGCTGTCATCTCAAAAATTCCTTTGCTTTAAAGATGGAGTCAATCTTCTCTCTTTTATCATTAATTTTAAAGATGAAACCTTCAGGGATCGCCCAGCAATATTGTATTCCATTTGTCTGAAGGAATGAGATTAATTCTTTGTAGCTTTTCCTCTTTTGACGGATTTCAAATGGGATGTCTTTTAGAGTCTTAATATTTGTATTCCCAAACTTCAGTGGATTTGCAAAAGTTGCCTTTAATATAACATCTCTGGTCTGTCTTCTTGCAAACAATCTCCCGAGGCAGGCTATTTTTTTAAATGTAATTAGAGTATACCCGATAAGCAGACTCTATATCTTTTATTATTTCATCCGCTGATAAGCCTGTTACTGATGATCTCTCCCAGAGTCTTCTTCAAATCTTCTTTTTCCTTTTCAGGCAGTCCCTGAAATCTGAGAGTCATGTTTGCTTTCTCCATTTGCAGCTGAAGTAAACTGTTTTCCTGCAGCTTTTGTTTTATTTCCACTTCTGTCACTCTTTTCCTCATCTTCTTCTTCCCGGTGTCCATCTCTACCAGCTTCTCAGTTGCCTACTCTACTTTTTTCTCTGTCTCTGCCAGCTGGCGCTACTGCGAGGCAAAGTTTTGGTTTAGTGTGGCCAGTTGCTGGTTAATACCACCGAGCTGCTCCAATACCAGTTTCAGCATATCCACTAACGTCTTCATGACGTCTGCTCCCTCTTCCGAACTTGGACTCTGGCTGCCTTTCGGTTTTATTTTCCCTCATGGAACCGCCATGTTCTCTCTTTGTTTACAATTCAACACCTCTGTTTCAGAGCTCGAAAGACTCGCCGTTTCTCTATCCAAGCTCAAGTAAGTCTCAAAATTTAATGCTGTTTCTCTCCCCTCCCCCCCCTTCGTTTCTTTGATCTATTCAATCGTTCAGGAGGCGTCCCTCCCTGCACGCCACTTTCTCCGCGGGGAGGGGCTTCACTTTACAAAAACAGTCCATTTATCTCTCACTCACATTCATTGTTGGTCACTTCTGACCTCGCTCTCTTCCATCGGTATTCCGCTTGATCTCCTGCGCTTGTCCCGGTCAGATTGGCTTACACCCATACGTCACCCATCGGCTGGACCATCAGGGCGGAGGAAAGCCTCTATTCCACGGCTTCGAGCCGTCCCCCCAAAAGCTCTCTGGCTTGGACCCCACGGCAAGGGTTCTGTGGGAGTGCCACTTGAGGTGGCCCCCCTCCAAGCCGAAGGTGTGCTAGTCGCCTCCTCGAGCTTCGAGGAGAGCGACTGCCATCGCCAATCCACCCACCGGAAGTCTGAATTGCCATTTCCTGTTGGATGGTGCCTTGTTTGCCTGGGAAAGCCAAGATCTATATGCACATCAAGGGTGATACCTGATGCCAGAACTTCACACCTGACCAGATGGCTTTTCATGAGTTTGAGTTTAGAGTTTCAAATATTGTCCACACCCCTAAGGTACCTGCCCCTTTCTACATGCACCAATGAGTGAGGTTATGGGATGGACTTGCAGGTAGGTGGGTCTACAGAATGGCAAGGTTGCCAAACACCTGGAGATTCAACTATAAAAAGCAGGGGCCACGTGATGGGTCTTTGCTAGCCACATCCCCCTTCAACATCCTCTGTCTGCTTTTATCCTCTAAAGTCCAGCTTCCTATCAAACAACCCTTTGTCTACTTTGGATCTCTTGGACTGCAGCCAAAGAGGTCCATGCCCTGCTAGCTGGTTCTGGCAGAGTGTGATCTAGTGAATACCCCTAGGTACTATTTTCTCCCCCTGTTTTCCATTGCAACAGACAAGACTTCAGGAAAGATAAGTATGAACGTAAAGCTGCCTACCTCCTAAGTAAAAGGGAGACTATTTTTGCTATTTCTGTAACTCTAAAGGAACTTGATTGTGTGAGAGTGTGGATAGATCCCACCCTAGATCGAAACAAGCTTCATTTCTGAAACCAAATAATAGCTCACCTACTCAACTTCAGACCCTTTTCACATGATCCAATTTATGTGACATATGGAGGGCCAGACACCCCACCAAAAAAGAATACACCTATTTTTCTCCAAAACATCTTACACACACCCCAATTGATTATATTGTAGTCTCAGACTCAATCAGTAATTCCTTTACTTCATCAGAGATTGGCACTCGCCTATGGACCAATCCTGGACATTTTTCTCTACAACTGAGCTTTTTGTATATCACTTCCACTGTCACTGTATCTGACCGTAACTCCTGTGAACAACTTTGGAAGCTTGTTTTTTGGCCGAAAAATGGGATTAAAATGTAATAAATATGATCCCAGTATCTTTTCCCAAGGAAGTCACAAACCGTTGAAGTCACCTATTTTCACCACAATTTCTACTTTGGCTGATTCTCTCATTCTTTTTAGTCTTTAAGTGGGACATTTTGCTCCATCAAATTCCAAGCAGTTTTCATGTTGCTTCTCAGAATGCTCCCTTCCTGCACCTTAATGTGGAATCCTCTAACAATTGTTTCTGAAGATCCAAGTTAGTCCACCGCTGATTAAATTAGGAAATGCAATCACAATCTGAAGATAACTTGAGATAATTTATTTGAGATACTTTATTTAGACCTGGCAGTTTTATGCATATTTCATTAAGCATGACCAGGTCTGTTTCAGTTTTTGCATAATTTAACTTTAAATTCCTTCTAGAAGGGGACGCCATCAACTATTAACAGCCAAAATAAACTCTTTTAAGATGCATGAATTTATGATTTATTTCAAAGCGTAGATGCCACAGGGTCTTTTGTGGTGGTTGTTCTATTGCTAAAGTAACAAATGTGCTGAAAGCAATATTTGGAGATCTCATCCCACCATCACAAACCTTCTGACATGTGTGCAATTAATTAAAATTCGTTAAAAGTTTTGAAAGAAATACAAGTTACCATTCATATGGCAACCAGTGACATACAAACGTACAGGTCTGCCTTCCTGGCAGGTCATCAAAAGTACCCCCTGCTGGCCACGGCCTTGGCGGGTCCCGCGTCTTGGTGTGATCAATGTCGCCACCCATCCCCAGGCTTGTCAGCACGAGCCAGCGCCGCTCCGCCCAGCCGCG